GTGAAGAAATATTATCGCAGTTAGATAAACCAGAAGAATTGTTAAATTCCGAACGCGAACCTTTTACAGTTTAATGTGTGAAAGATAAGAATAAATACTACTATTTTTTATATACTAAAGTTCATCATTATGAAGAAACTAAATTTAAAGATATTTATAAATTAATGATAATACTCTCACTATAAATAATTTTAATGCCACTATTAATAAATAAATCAAAACGAATTAAAATTGAATTCCCAAATTAATAAAATGAATGAAATTTTGTCGCAAATTACAAAAACCGATAATTTACTGCTTCACATTTCTAGGATAAATACGAGTAATTTACTAAACGTAATTGAAGGCTCCTTACTCGCTGTTTCTAACTTGCTAGACACAACTATAAATGCTATTTTATTTTCCAAGGTAAATGTTTTGCATCCTAGCGTGATTAGCCCTTCAAGTCTTTATAATGAATTAACCAAGCATATTAATCAAATAAACAAACGTTTATATTTTCCAATGCAATTGAACATACATAATATTCATTTTTTTATTTGACGTCTCGAAACTTAGTTCATATTATTATAACAATAAGATTGTTTTCAGTTTGCAAATACCACTGATAACGCCTGATAAATTCACTGTTTGTCACGAGCTCCTGGTGAAGAACTCTGGCTACTAGGTTGTGCCTGTGCAAGTACTCAGAGTTAGAAAGTCCCGAACAACCGGAGATGACATGCCTAAGTGACTCACCGGGATGGCGACAAGCTCGACAGATGTCGATGGTGCCATCCTTTAGGATGTATCTCCGATAGTTATATAATTATAAATGAAAATGAAAAGATAAATATACATAAATATCAATAACATAAAATAAATATAAAAATACATATATAAATAAAAGCCCAACCAGATGGAGGCCCTCGGCAGGGGGATCAAACGGCCGAGGGTTAGGGGAAAAGGGAAAGAAACCGGCGGACGATGAGGGTGGTATCGTGGAGCACCGCCTTCTGCATTTGAGCCTGGAGCGGTCCGCCACGTAGTGCCAGCCGCCTCAGATGACCCGAGAGGCTGACTGGGATTAGCCCGTTTGCAGAGACGACTACAGGAATAATTTTGGTCGGCAGACCACCCCACATGTCGGTCACCTCGTGAGCCAGGTCCAGATATTTTGTTTGCTTATCTGTTTCGGCTTTCAGGTGGTTCTCGCCATACGGAATGGTAATGTCGACCAAAAATATCCTTGACTGTGCCCGGTCAGTCAAGGATATTTTTGGTCGACGATCAGCACAATATCAGGCTTATTCGCAAGAATAGAAAGAAAGAAAGAAAAAACTTTTATTCACAGTCTAATCACAATAGATACAAAACAAGAAATTGGAATTAAACAGAGAATAAAACAATATTTCCCTAAATTAACAAAAATGTAAAAATAATATAAAATGAGTCTGTGTAGCAGCATAAGACCGTGAAATGGACAGGACTCAGTAAAAATCGAGATACAGAAACACGAATTGCTCTGATCCCGACACTGGTTTTCAGTCCGGCCCGCACTGCGACGTAACTCGGACGGCTGCCTCAATGCACATGCTATAATGCGACGCGGAATATATAAAAAAATATGTGTTTTCAAATTTTTATTCACATAAATAGTGGATATCATTAGTCTAATGAAGGTAAGTATAAAATAGAATTAACGTTTTCCTTCTAAATATATCAATTTTATTTATTAAGAATGCGGAATAAACGTTGTTTAAAGAATAAAGGTAAGAAAATGATTCTCAGAAAAATAAATTTATTATATAAATATTTAAATAAAATAGTTTGTATATTATATAAAGTGAAAATTAAAATATCTACATAATTTATGGGACTGAGATTACTGACGTGTTGAAAGAACTTAACCTCCTACCAGTTTATTTTATAGATCGGTATTTTTTTGTTCCGAAAGTAAGTGTAACCTGTATTTGATTTTAAACCCACTAATTGTTTTCAGGTCACGCAGTGAAGGCGGGAGGTTATTCCAACATTTAGTGGCATTATATTTAAAACTACCTCTGAAAGCGGCCGACCGGTAGAAAGGATATACTAACCTGTAATTGGATGATCTGGTATTATACTGCTTATTTTGATCTTTAGACCAAATTAACTTATTATATAAATATAAAGGTTCTTTATTTTTAATAACTCCAAACAAAAGTGAGGCAAAGTGTAGTCGCCTGCGACAGTCCATTTTTAAAATATTAGCGTTATTAATGAAAGGGGTTACATGTGCACGTGGTGGTACATTGAAACAAAAGCGTGCACAGGCATTCTGGACCCGCTGTATTGTTTGCTGTGTTTGAGATAATAGTCGTGGGCCTATGAGAGAATCCGCGTAATTGAATTTTGAAAGCACGATAGACTCGCAGAGATGTGTACGTAAGGTGACACTTAGGTACTCACGAATACGATAAAGTACTTTCAATCTATAAAAGCAGTTACGTGCAATATTCATTACATGTTTCTCAAAACGAAGTTTGTCGTCCATTATTACCCCCAAATTTCTGACTTCAGAGACTCTCACAATAGGTTCGGTGTTTACAATAATGGCAGGGTGGCTTAGTGTGATCTTTTTTATTTAACCATCCTAGAATAAGGTACTGCGACTTTTTTTGGATTGAGAACCAATGCGTTACGCTCTGACCACAAAGATATCCGACCCAAATCCGAGTTCAATTTTGTCACTGCTACTTGAACATCACAAGGCTTAAACGAATATATATATATATATATATATATATATATATATATATCTGTAAGTCGTCAGCGTACATGTGGTACTTACAATACTCTATATTTTTAATAATGTCTGCACTATATATTATAAAAAGTAAGGGACCTAAAATGGATCCTTGCGGTAGTCCTCGGTTCACAGGGCGCTCCCCAAAAATAGCTTTACCTTTTCCATTTAATTGTATTTCAACTTGCTGTGACCTATTTTTAAAGTAACTGGCAAACCATTGGGTCGCGTTTCTGCTTAAACCATAAAAATATAATTTTGAAAGAAGTAATGGGATATTGAGGGTTTCAAAGGCATGCGAGAAATCAAGTAATGTTAAAATAGTACCCTCATCACTGCCTTGTGCAGTCAGTATATCATCTACGACCTTTATAAGCGCTGTGGTAGTGCTGTGCTTCTTTCTAAAGCCAGACTGCAGCTCAGGAAGGATGTTATTTGCTTCAAGGTACATTGTTAGCTGATTATATGCAAGCTTTTCTATTATTTTAGAAAGGCACGGTAGAATACTAATTGGCCTGAGATCCGACATAGAAATAGGGTTACTAGTTTTTGGTATAGGTTTAACGATGACTTTTTGCCGGAGATCCGGATAGGTATTTGTCGCAAAAGATTTATTAATTATGTATGTTATTTCTGTAATAAAATCTTTAGGTAATAACTTTAACATATCAAGAGAAATGCCATCGCACCCCACTGCATTAGACTGCAAAGAGTTTATAACTTTAACCACCTCATCCTTCGAGGCTTCTTTAAACTAAAAAGAGTTATCATTAGTGCCATTAAATTTAAAGAAAGTGAGAAGAGACAATGAGACGTCATTTTTACCAGGAGTATTAAGAAAATGATTGTTTAAAGCATCGGGGTCACTGAAATGGGATGGCAAAGAAGTATCCTTACTTTTTATTTGAACTTGGTGTTTAATGTGCTTCCACGTTATTTTAGGTTGATTTTAGTTTTGAATTAATATAAAATTTGAAGTAGGCAATCTTTTCTGAAACTATCGCTTTATTAACTATTGATTTTAGTTCCCTATAATAATCCTTATATGGAGCAAGTTTTGTTTTCCGGGCTCTCACTTGAGCCTCGTTGCGTGTTCTCGTCATACATCTTATGTTATGCGTTATCCATGGATAATATTTTTTTATATAGACAGTTTTAGGAGGGGCGTGAGAATTAAAGATATTTAATAAATTTTTGTTAAAAGAATCAATCATATCGTTTATGTTATCTGACGATGCACAGTGCCAGTTAATTTGTTTTAAATCTTGGTTGAAAAGGTTTATGTATATCCCTTAAAGGATAACCTAAACTGGAAGTACGTGACGCTTTCAGGCTGAAACTTAGGCTTGGGAATGTCAAGTTCACATACAATAAAGGCATGACTACTGAGGTCACTAATATAGTCCACACTTATATATGACACCGATGCATCTCAACATATAACATCTACCAGTGTCTTACTATATTCAGTAAAGTGTGTTGGTTCCTCAACATATTGCACGAGGTTATTGCATGTTAGGAAGTCCGAAAGCATTTTGGTACTAACACAATTTTTATTTAAAATGTCGATATTAAAATCCCCAAGCAGTACTCTTTGATCGTAGCCTACAAAAGAACCTAAGGACTCGCTCAGCGCGTCCAGAAATAATGTCACGCTCAACCATGGGGGACAATAAGCAGTACCGAAGACAAGGGACTTGCCGTTAATTTTAATATTTAACCATATCTGCTCCACCGCGGGACAAATAGGATGTTGAATAATTTTTGACGACAAGCCCCGTCTCAAATAAAAACCCACACCGCCGCCACGCGCACGAACTTCGGGAGGTCGGGGTACGTGAAGCAGTCGATACCCTGGAACAGAAGGCGCCCGGCCTTCCTCCCCTGTCCGAAGCCATGTTTCATTGATAGCCATTATGTCTACAGAGTGATGCGCCATAGCAGCTAGGAATTCGTCGTGCCTAGTATCAAGAGACACGGGGTTCAAGAAGCCAATTTTCAACTTATTTAATTTAGTCATTTTCAAAGAATTTATAATAACACGAAAACGTTATAAAATTAATAATAACCCAAACAAAACCATAATAAAGGAGACTATAATACCACTGCTCATGTACTGTCAAATACATTTCAATGTATGGGCCACAGGTATAAGTTATAAATAAACATAATTGATTGCCGAATATGTTATCCGACAATATCCTGTTGCCATTTCCCGTTATGCTGCTACACGTTAGAAAGCAAACATTAAACCTGTCACAATATTCACTATACCAAAAGACAAAGAATAAATGTGATAATATTAAAAGTGTAACTACAAAATAACAGACAAAAAATTTACTCCATACTCCATAAACGTATGCAATAATAGTAAATTTTGCAAAGCAACTTAACAAAAATAAAATGTAACCTAATAATAAAATGGAAATAAAATGTAGTCTAGATAAAAATAAAAATAAAATGTCCTCTTAATAGCAGCTACGTAGATGCGTAGGGGAAACAATCATTGAGAAATAATTATAATCAAGACGACAGCCAAATTGACATCGTGCAAGAAGTAACATAAATAACAGGATTAAAATTTGCTTCAAACTATTCAATCCCCAAAAAATTTGTTTATATCTTTTTCTGTTCGAATTCTATAACGGGGTGAACCAGAATCACGACGCGCAAAAATGCATCCTTCCCGCGTCCACACATATCTCCAGCCTTTGCGGCGCCCTTCTTCCCGTGCTTTATAAAATAATTGCCTATTGATTGAGGTGAGCCGCTCATTAACATAAAATCAGCGCGGCTCGCCACCTAAGTTCAAACCGGCAGTATCCGCCCCTCGCCGAACGCGTGCTTCGTGAATTAGTTTATCTCGAATCACTCGACGAGCGAGACGGACAACTAACGGACGCGGCCTTCGCTTGTCACCGCTGCCGGGTATTTCCTCGCGGCGCATGCATTTACGCCTTGCACTTACAACATCGCGCTCGTCCAATTCAATGCCAATTTTAGCCGCAAGCATAGTGACGAGGTGCAAGGGGTTTTCGCCCTTCTGTTCTATTACACCAGATATTTCCAGATCGTTTAAAAGTAATTCTTGATCACGCTCGTTAAGTCGACACTTTAACTCCGCTATGCTATCTTCGACCTTGGACCCTCTGGGTTGACTCGGCAAGTCCGTTGCCTGTTGCTCAAGACATGCGATCCTTTTCTTGACGTCGCTAACCCTGTTACTTATTTCCACATTAGAATTAATGTCAGTGATTTCATGGCGAAAAGATACCATTTCGCGGGCAATAGTAGTAAACTGCTCGCGTATTAATTTTAGCTCGTTTGCTAAGTCGACATTAGATTCACAGCGCCCTCTATCGTCGGATCCAAGCTGTGCATCGCTGAACACTGTGTCCGTGCCACCCGAGCTACACGAACTAGGCGTAGCAAATGTGTTCACCCCACTCGCACATACATTTTTTGCCTTACAACCGCTGCATTGCCATTTATTTGATATTCGGCCGTCAATAGGAATACTAGCACATTTGCGATGAAATTGCGCGGCGCCAAAAAGAATTGAGTCCGTCTCGCAAAAGTCCCGGCTTTCTTCCAAATAGGTCACCAGCATTGGGTTAAGAGCCCGCACAACAGCCCGATTTCGCTTGCTAAGTGGTATGCGGGGAATTCGCGGTCGATTTTCGAGAGGCATGATCCGCGTTTCCAGCATCGACTCTTCCAATATGCTCCTCATTTTCTCTAGTTCGTGGGAGACTATTCCATTGTGGGGTATCTATATAGTTTTCTCATCTGGTTGGGTTCTATAAATATATAATTATAAATGAAAATGAAAAGATAAATATACATATATATCAATAACATAAAATAAATATAAAAATACATAAATAAATAAAAGCCCAACCAGATGGAGGCCCTTGGCAGGGGAGACCAAACGGCCGAGGGTTAGGGGGAAAGGGAAAGAAACCGGCGGACGATACGGGCGGTATCGATGAGCACCGCCTTCTGCATTTGAGCCCGGAGCGGTCCGCCACGTAGTCCCAGTCGCCTCAGATGACCCGAGAGGCTGACTGGATTTAGCCCGTTTGCAGAGCCGACTACAGGAATAATTTCGGTCGGCAGACCACCCCACATGTCAGTCACCTCGTGAGCCAGGTCCAGATATTTTGTTTGCTTGTCTGTTTCGGCTTTCACGAGGTTCTCGTCATACGGAATGGTAATGTCGACCAAAAATATCCTTGACTGTGCCCGGTCCATCAGCACAATATCAGGCTTATTCGCAAGAATAGTCCTGTCTGTGATGATGGCCCGGTCCCAATAGAGCCTGGCGCGAACATTTTCGAGCACGGCTTCCGGCAAGTACTTGTAATACGGCAATTTCCGATCCACGAGACCGTATTTCAGAGCGAGCTCCTGGTGAAGAATTCTGGCTACTAGGTTGTGCCTGTGCAAGTACTCAGAGTTAGAAAGCGCCGAACAACCGGAGATGACATGCCTAAGTGACTCCCCGGGATGGCGACAAGCTCGACAGATGTCCACGGTGCCATCCTTTAGGATGTATCTCCGATAGTTGTTGGTCTTAATAACCTGATCCTGTATTGCATAGACAAAACCCTCGGTTTCCCCGAAGAGATCACCAAAGCGTAGCCAGTGGAGGGAGGCTACTGTGTCTACGAAGGGCTCATGTAGAGCCTTGTAGAACCTCCCGTGGAGCTCCTTCTCCTTCCATACGTTCTCCCGGTCGGAAATAGTCTGCACTGCCGGGTCTTGCCATTGCTCGTTGGCTATGGATATAGGGGTAAGTACCTTTATCACTAGAAATGACGTCCTTATAGAATGGATCATCCGATCTCGCCAGGAAGTAATTACGCAGGCTGCACACTTCGCGATTATGCATGGTGAGCGCGCTCAAGAAGCCACGCCCACCATGCTTTCGCGGCAAGTACAGCCTCATTACCGACGATCTCGGATGATGCATCCTGTGGTACGTCATGGTAGTGCGGACTTTTCTATCCAGGGCGTTAAGTTCAGTCTGAGTCCACCTAAGTATGCCAAAGGTATACATGAGGACAGGCATGACCCAGCCGTTATATGCGTTATATGTCTTATTCACACCGGACAAAAGGCTGTTAAGCACTTCGGTCAAGCGTGCATAAAACACGTCGCAAACTGACTGTTTCATACCAGCCTCATCGATACCGATGTTCTGTGACATACCCAGGTATCGGTATGTTTCAGCCTCGGAAAGGGTCCTTAAGTTGACGGGCATAGATAAGTCTATGCCCTCAGAGTTAGCAACCCTCCCCATTTCAACATGGAGGACCGCACACTTATCCGTTCCCAGCTCCATTCCAATAGAATTGCTAAATTCACAAGTGATGTTTAGCAATTCCATAAGATGGGAGCGACTGGAGGCGAATAACTTGAGGTCATCCACAAAAAAAAAGTGGGTCACTTTTGTACCTCCTTTCCGAAGCTGAAATCCCCTCCCGGAGCCCTCCAGTAAAGTACTGAGAGGGTTCAGGGAGAGGAAAAACCAGATTGGACTCAGACAATCGCCCTGGAAGATACCCCTTCTTATCCTTATGTGGTTCTCCGCAGCCATCATCCGCTCGCCCAGATAGCAAACGATCGTACTCCATTGCCCCATACACTGCTCGAGGAAGTCTCCAACTGTACAGTCAATTTTGTACAGCTGGAGGACTCTCTTTAGCCATGTATGGGGCACCGAGTCGAATGCCTTTCTGTAGTCTATCCAGGCGGCGGAGAAATTCCGACGGTTGCGTTTCACCACTTTGCCAATGACCGCGTCAATGAGGAGTGGTTCCTTGGTTCCACGACCACCGCACCGGCATCCATTTTGAGCGAGTGACATCACCTGATTTAGCTCCAGGTGACGAGTGATTCTCGCGCTCAAAATGGATGTCAGTGTCTTATATATGGTGGGTAGACACGTGATGGGGCGGTATTTGCTCGGGTCTGTGGTATCCTGATCTTTAGGAACCAAATGAGTGATCCCAGTAGTGAAGAGGCTCGGGAACGACTTCTGATCGAGAGCCTCTTGAAACTGTCGGGCGAGCACAGCGTGACACACTACGAACCCCTTCAGCCAGTAATGATGCAGCCCGTCGAGCCCCGGACTTTTCTAGTTCGGGGCCCTACGTACCGCCTCAGCCACGTCTTCAGGCGTTATGGTGACGGGGTCCATAGGCGTAACACTTGCACTCTGGCTCGCCACAACTTCCATCCAAGGGCCCTCGCTGTGGTTTACGGGCTCTGACCACAGGCCACGCCAAAATGTGACAGTGTCAGCCTGATCCGGTCCTGGGCCCGCTCCACATACCTCTGGTCGCTCCAATGATTTATAGAGCCTCTTCTGATCACTCTGGAAGAGACAATTCTGGTTGAACCGCCTTGACCTCTCGCTAAATCGTCGAATCCGCTTCCCCCAAGCAGCGATTTTTTGCTTCAGGTCATTATTGCGCTCCGTTAGTTTTTGAGTGATATCCGGCTGGAACAAACTGAAATATTTGTCCCAGCAAACGCCATCCTAACGGTGCGCATAATCCTCGGTCTATTATTACCCGACCTGAAGCTTGTCAGTCTGCCGATAAGGGCCCTTGCCTTTGCGATACGGTCCTCGATTCTTTTTCCTCCAGGCTGGGATGGCGCTACTTTGTGTAGTAGCACGTCCAGCCACGGGAAGTTTGGCGCCAATAATACGGCAAACGGCCAGTGCGGCGCCAAAGAGAATCGAATCCGTCTCGCAAAGTCCCGGCTGGCTTCCAAATAGGTCACCAGCATTGGGTTAAGAGCCCTCACGACAGCCCGATTTCGATTGCTTAAGGGTATGCGGGGAAGTCGCGGTCGATTTTCGAGAGGCATGCTGCGCGTTTCCAGCATCGACTCTTCCAATATGCTCCTCATTTTCTCTAGTTCGTGGGAGACTATTCCATCATCGTCTGAATTAGCCACAAATGGAATGTTGACGGCAGCATCCACATATGCAGTTTGTTGCGCAGCTAGTGGCGCCGCATTCCCAGCCGTAGCATTTCCATTCGATGAAGGAATAGCCTCACGTCGTAGTCGCTCGAGTTCGGCGTCACCAAATATGTTGGAGCGCAGGATGTACCTAACTCGGTCTGCCAGGTTTTGCTCAGTGACGGATAGAGATGGCTCCAGCTCTGCAAAAAAGCGATGCATCCGAGCCCGATACGCCAAACATCCAGTTTCTTCCCCTTTTGCCCTAAAATACGCCCGCCGTGCGTTTTCATTCATTGATTTAGACCAACGCATGCGACGTGCTCCACCAGCGGCGGGTGCCGCTTGCTGAGTCCGGGAAGACCTAGCCGAATCCAAGCCTTCTGGTGGGGATGATGGATGCGGGGGGCTGCTAGGTGGTCTTGCAACACCCCGCGCTCGACTGGCGGCCCGCATGCTGTCGCGTCCAGCGCCAGCTCCAGACGCGCCCTGGCGACCTCTAGGCAGCGGCCCTTTGCGCACTATCTTTTTCTCCATCATCCATAATATGGGCGTCCATTAACGGGAGACGCCCAGGCCCGGCACCGTATCGTGGACGGCCATAAGCACAAACGGACCTTTGCACCCTGAATTCTGCCGAGGCAATTCGCTCACACCTCTCGCAAGGCGCTGACTGACTGCGTTGACGTAGCAGTTTTGTCACTTAACTGTTACGTCAGCGGGCGATGGGGTCGTCAATTCCCTACGCCATTATTGATATGAATATGTGATAATATATTTACAAGTTCGTTTGCCTGAAGTGATGACACGAAATAACGATGGCCGAATACACCAAGAATATATTTTATTTTGCAACATTAATGCCAGGGAGAACTTTAAAGAAATATTAAATGAGAAAATAGAAAAGCGTCAAAATAACAAAATCAATGATCACTACACTTCTACTGATCCCAGAAAACAACGAATGCCGCGTTTTTATTGAGATGCTTAAGCGTTTTATTGAGATTGTCACCAAAAAGAAGCTTTGAAACCATCAACTGTAAGCGGTTATAGTTGTAGGTCACTTCAAGATGCAACGCCTGGTGATTCATCGTACACAATATTAATATTAGAAGGCTGCGGGACTAGACAGAGTTACTGCTGAAATGGTCAAGTACGGTGAGCCTCGCGTCTGGGACAGCTTTCGTCTGCTGTGCAATTTGTGCAGGCGGACGGGAGATGTCCCGGATGATTGGCGATCTGCGATCATTGTGCCCTTATATAAAGGTAGAGGTTCACATTTTGACTGCGGGTGCTATCGGGCGATCAGTTTGACCAGTTTAGGAAGTAAAGTTTACTCGAAGGTTTTGACACGTAGGATGCAAGAGAAATCGGAAAGATTCTTATGGGAAGCACAATGCGGATTTAGACCTGGTAGAGGATGCACGGATCAAATGCTTTCTCTCCGCATGATCACGGAAAAGCTTCTGAGTGTTAACCAGAGGATTTTCTGTGCTTTTGTGGATCTGGAGAAAGCATTTGATAAGGTTATAAGGAGGAAAATGTGGGAACTGTTGCCGGGATATGGTGTGGATGGTCGATTGTTAAGGGCTGTGTAGTCACTTTACTAAGACTGTAAGGGCATGACCTGTCACCCATGTTTAGCGTCCAAGCGGGCGTAAAACAGGTTTGTGTCATGTCTTCCTGGCTGTTCATACTGTATCTCGACAGCTGTTTACAGAAGCTGAAAAATAGCTGTTTGGGTGTAAAATTGGGTGACATTAAAGTAAATTGTCTGCTGTATACTGATGATGCAGTGCTTATTGCACCATCAGAAGCAGAACTGCAGGCATTAGTCACGTGTATGAAAGAGGAGTGTGAAATTAAAGGTCTCCGTTTGAATGCTAATAAAACTAAGGTTATAGTATTTGAAAAGGACGAAGAGAGAACGAAATGTGAAATATGGGTAAATCAGGAATGTCTAGAACAGGTAAATGAAATTGTATACTTGGGGAGTGTTTTCAGCCGGGATGAAAGATGTAATTTAGATGTGGATAGGCGTGTCGTTGTCGGAAACAAAGTCAATGGTGCTCTGAATGCATTAGTAAAAAAGGCAAGGCGTGGTGAAGAGTGCACGCCTTGCACTGCATAACGCAGTGTTGGTACCGACTTTGTTATATGGCAGCGAAACCTGAGTATGCCAGAAGAAGCATAAAAGCAAGTTGAATGCAGTGGAGATGCGATCTCTTCGTAAAATGTGTGGCGTTACCATAGCCGATCGAAAGCGAAACGAAGAGATTCCCAATATGGCAGGATTGAAAGATGACCATATCACAAAAATTGATAGGGGCGTACTCCAATTGTTTGGGCACGTTGAGCGAATGAGTGAAGACCGAATGATGAAGAAAATATATAGCGCGAAAGTAAATATTAAAAGGTGTCGAGGTAGACCGAGACTAACTTTCGAAGACCATGTGAGCAAATTACTCGAAAAGGGGAAGGTCAAGAGTACTCGGATACCTAGATGTGCATATATGAAGAAGTTAATGAACATGAAAGAAGCGAAAGAGGTATGTAAGGATCGTGACACTTGGCGATCTGTTCTCTCTGGCTACCCCGTTAGGGATTGTGCGTGAAGATAAGTATTTCAGATATACATATCCATACACATTTGTTAGTAATTTACATAAACTATGTTATTAAAAGAATATAATAATAATGAAATAAGGATAAAATAAATTATATCAATAGAACGAGAGCAATCATTTATGAAAATTGAATGTCCCACCCACATAGCCTCTGAATGGGACTGTCAAGCTTATCTTGAAATATCCTCAAAACACTATTTGAGCTCTTCCGTAGTCTACATAACATTGACGCAGTTCGCTTTCTTAATTTTATTTTTCAGATATTCTTTAATGTGCAACAAATATTAAAATTGACAAATTCTTCTTAATGACATACCAAGGAGTTTTACTGGCGGCACAATAAAAGGTTTCTTACTGTTTACACGAAACACCAATAACTCACTTTTCTTAGTATTATAGATGAGTCCATGTTCAGCAGCGTAAATTTCACACACAGATAATAGTCTACGCATCGCATTCACCGATGGACTCAGCAACACCATGTAATCGGCATAACTTATATTATTAATCATATGACCGTCAACAGAACATCCTACCCTTGTTTCACTGAGTGCACCAATGAGCCCGTTTACGTAGGGACTGAACAGCACAAGCGAAGACCGCACTCCGCATTCCAATATTAATTCGTCGGTAACTCACCAGACCAGCTGCCCTGATTATTTGATGACGACTGTATCAATATTTTAAAGTGGTGATAAGTTCAGTTGGAACGGATATTTCATGCACTTTTGTCCATAGCACGTCATAATTAACCAGGTTAAATGCCTTGGAGAGATCCAGAAATGTAACATACACTGGTGTTTGTCTTTAGGTGTAATATTTGACAGTATGTTTCAGCGATATTATAGGACTCTCTGTCGACAAGCCTGGTCTAAAACCAAATTGAGCATCGATGAGTTGTATATATAGTTGTTATGACGTCGTTCCAGCAAACCGTCAAGTGCCTTTGCCATTATAGTTGCTAAAGATATAGGCCTGTAATTAGCTTATATATATATATATATATATATATATATATATATATATATATATATAATGTGTCCGGTTTCCGATGTCCGATACTTTCAGGGGTTAAAATACAATTAATTTTATCGACAAATCAGTGATTTTTTTTTGCCATCAATAAAAAAATGGCAGCACTTTAAAAAAAATTGTTGACGAAGCATAGATGCTTGTAACTGATTGAACTGTTACAGCGATATGCTGGCTTGAGTACTCGTTCATTGTAATAAACAAAAAGTAACAGTTCAACAACAAAACAAAAACGTAACAAAGTCTAACAACAAACAATAATTATGTACAGTAAGTAGATTTACTTAAAACCAGGAATGTTATCACAACGCAGAGCGAGGGACGACTGCTCGACGGCACAAGCGCACACTACACCTTTTTTTACCTGGAGACAGCCGTTATTCTGTCTCGCTCGCACTGTTGTGCACAGCGTTTTTTACCTGCTCACACAAAGGATGCTATTGTGCTTGCTTACGATTCCTTGAATTATTGAAGAATTTTATCTTACTCACTGGAATGGGTGTTTAGTTATCTAATGTCGGGGCAGAGGCACTTTGAACAGTTACATTCAAATTATCATAGCTCCTAAACTATCTAACTCAGAGTTAAGATTTAAATGTGCATTTATAGCAAATATCCTGTATTATAATAAAAACAAGTAAAAAAATTGGTTAACACGATGGTTTTTTTTTTAAAGCTAAGAATCTGAAAAACAACATCAATTTGTTGTCTAATTTATTTTTTCAAAAATGTTTTTTACTAATACTGAAAAATTAAAAAATAATATTTTGAATCTAGATTTATTGTCTACACTATTAACTAACATTTGAGACGAATTTTGTTTTTGAAAGTCTTCTACTTGGGTAGATATTGTTAAATTAATACAAGCATCTATGCTTCGCCAACAATTTTTTTAAAGTGCTGCCATTTTTTTATTGATGGCGAAAAAAAAATCATTGATCCCTGATTTGTCGATAAAAATTTTATTTTAACCCCTTAAAGTATCGGACATCGGAAACCGGACACATTGTATATAATGCTTACAAGTTTATGAAGCAAAGAAGTTTTCACTTCTGACGTGTAGTTCAATGACTGACAGTTATTTTTTTCGTTGATCGACTTTTAAAAAGTTGTTACGTCTATCTCACACTGTTAGTTAATTTGGTTAAAAAAATAGCAAAATTTAACAAGAAAACTTATAATCAACGCGACAGAATCCTTGCATTTTAGTATCTATCCACAGCCAGAAAGCTTGGTAAAAGTACAGGTTTTTTTTAGCTATTATTTTAGCTATTATGTCACACCCAAAAGATGGCTAATTTGTGATATCCCCAAAATAAAATTTTAGGTATCCGTAATAGAGGATTTTATTTACACCACACACCACTTGACAATCATTTTAACGTTTAAAGAAATATCCCAAGAATGAATATGAATCTTTGATTTCCTAAAAATCAAAAGTCGTTACGAAAGTACTTATTAAAAATTAATCAAGAGCAATTTAAATTATAGCTCAGTTAAAGTTAAGAATAAATGGAAACTCCATTCATACGCGTAGAGAGCATTGAAGACCACCACGCGATTTATGTTCGGACATGACGCCAGAGATGCCATCGTCACTCGAACCTTCTGTCGCACTGCCGTTGGTCTATTTCGTTAAGCTGGCGTCACGCCTGCGTTAGGTCCATGTTTCGACGACAGTTTCGCCAAATATTTACTGCGTCGTACAAAACGGAACGTATATCATTCGATAACGTGTCCGAGCCGCCTTCGGTTGACTTTAAACTTAATATACTTAGCACTAAAGTTTCTGGCATTGAAGTCATTGTATAATTTTTTTCTATTTATTTGATAATAATTTTACAATATTTAGATTGGTCAGTGTTGTCATCTACAAGG